TTCTTCGCCCACTGTGACTGCAGGCACAGGTTGTTTCGTGAGCATTGTGTCTGTGTCCAGGGAAACTACATCAAGGATCTCAACATTTTGGGAAGAGATCTCTCAAAGACCATCATTATTGACAATTCACCACAAGCCTTTGCATATCAGGTGAGACACCAACACCTGATATGCAGGTGTTGCCTGGTTATCAGCAAGCATCAGAGATTCTGACAATGAGTAGAATAATTAAAAAATGTTTTGGGTTTTCATTCGTTTGTCCCTCTACTATGAATTGGATATTACTGGGATTTATTCCTGAATATTTAGCACAAAAATCCACTTGAACACAAGTGATAGTTGAACAAAATTTCAAATATGGCTCAACACTAAATGTCAATGTCTTTTTTTGGTACATCACTTGAAACGTGTCTAATACAGTGAAATTGACAGTTTGTATCAAAAAGGGCACATAATGTTCCTCCAACGCCCCTTTTTAGATCAGGTTTAATGCCAGAATTCAGGAACAGAAGCTATATAGATAGATAGTATAGATAGTAACTCCCCAAGCAGAGGATAGAAGGGTGAAGTGACATCACTAGATTAGACAGTGAACTGTTACAGCTACCACTTTTGACTGCTCTGTTTTGGGATAAACACAGCTGATCATCCTGCAGCTAGTGGTATCCTTAGCATCTTCTTGTCAGCGCCAACCGTGTGCATGTCCTTCTTCACTACATCCATGAATCTTCTCTGTGGTTCCTCTTTTCCTCCTGTGTGCCAGCTCCATATTCAACATCTTTTATCCAGTATATCTGCTTTCCCCCTAATCATATATCCAAACCGTCTCAGGTTTGCTTCTCTCTTTGTCTCCAAACGGCTCAACCTGAGCTCTACTTGTTTCTAATCCTGCCTATTCTGGTCATTCCGATTGGTGCACATCTGTTATAGGGAGAAAGCACCACCCACCCCACTTAAGATCTTCAGCTACTTCAAACACAGCAGAACAGCAGATCTTTTCTTCTTTGGTCACAGTTTAATTAAATAGATTTTTTTTTTTCCTTTGGTCTCTGCAGTTGTCCAATGGGATTCCCATAGAGAGCTGGTTCATGGACAAGAATGACAATGAGCTTTTGAAGCTGGTGCCCTTCCTTGAGAAGTTGGTTGAGATGGTAAGCTGTCCTGTCTTTCATTTACTCTTGTAGGATCAACTACATCAGCAATAAGAGTAACTTGACCATGTGAGTAAACTTAATCTAACCCCCCATCCCTTCGACTTGCAGAATGAGGATGTGCGGCCGCACGTTCGGGAACGGTTCCGGCTTCACGACCTTTTACCCCCCGATTGAAGCCAACCACAAACTCTCGAAATGGGGACAACATGAAAAGACTGAGAACAACACGTGCGTGTAAAAAGCCTCTCTTTGGATTACAAACTACAACATTGCCATTACTTTAAAAAATAAATAAAAAATTAGCCTTTTTTTTTTTTTTTGGTTTTGTTTTTAAATTCACCATTGCTTTAACAAGAAAAAAAAGAGAACTTCAAAAGAAAACCTTTTTAAAAGATCTGGGTGAGATTTTCTAAAAATCGTAAGCGCATAGATGAAATTACACACTATGGACAAGCCCAGGTCGTCGACACTTTTTAAGCGACTCTTCAGCTGTGGAGCCAGATATCAGCTCCACACTAAATTCTGAAGTCTTGGTGCTGGTTTAGTGGATATGAAAACACCACCTGGTAAAGAGGAACTCCACCTTGCCCGACCGCAGTCCAACCCCCTGGTGCTCACGCTGTCAGTACTGACGATACGACACTCTGTGGCTACAGACCATTTTTAACAGGAGTGACTGGCCTGTAAATCAATCTGTGCATGTGTGTATGTTTACTCCTAGCCACACACACTCACTGATTCGGTGTATGGGCAAGCCTAAAAACTGTAGCCTTGAAAGTCATATGCATTCCTCTGTAGCTTCGTCAACTTTCTGTTGTTGGTTGCAGTTGTTTGTTTGTTTGTTTGTTTTTTTTTGTTTTGTTTTTTTGCTTTCTGGTAAAACTGGTGTTTTGTTTTTTGTTTTTAAAGATGGGGTTTAAAAGAAAATTTTCATTTCTGTTTGTAAGATACGAGATTTTAAAAGGGTCATGTAAGTTTCATTGTTAACCATTTCCCCATATAGGAGAACCTGTAAATGACAGTCCGCTGCATAGTCAAATAAAATGGAATGAATCCAGGACTTTATAGCTTGTTCTCATTCTGAGGTTTAAATGAATGTGTTGGCTTCACACGTGGACACAACATGGCTCTTTGATTTAAATGTTAAGGATCTTTTGACCTGTAAATCTGACACATTGTAATGATTTAAGGGCATTCATTCTCAAAGTGATGTGTCACCGTTAACTCCTCGTTTTAATAGCAGTTCGTCATTCGTGTGTAATCAGTATTGTCTCCGGCTCCTGAGCAAGTATTCTCGCTAAAACCTCGATCGGTTTCTTTTAATTGTCACGTGTAACTTGATGGCTATATCAGTAGCATTATGACTAATGTAGCGCACCTCTGCCAGTGTGTCATAAAGTCTACCTGTGGCAGAAGTCAATGGCCAGACCGTGTACCAGCTATACCTGGCACCAGCAGCATACTGTTACTGTCAGCTTCACCGTCTGTCCCTCTGCCTGTTTCACATGTTTTTCGTAGTATTTTTAAGCGTTTGTTCTTTGTTTTTAGCCGTTAAAAGGATTGTTTAAGAATGGTAACTAAATGAATGTGTTTTTGGTTTGTTTTTTATTTGTTTTTTTTTTTTTTCCCAGCATAATTTATTGATGATGAGACGCACAGTAGGGTGAAGTGTTGTCCGTGTTTTGGCCACCGTACAAGCCTAAACTTGGGAGGTCACGGAAACTCGGATGCCCGTCGCTAATACAAACCTGTGACGGTGTGGCAACGTTTTCTTTAGATTTTGTTGGAATCTTAAGTGCTTTTATGTTACAGCGAGCGTGTGTGTGTGCGTGTGTTGCCTGTATAGTGCCATACAATACAAGTTCCTCCTCGTGGCTTTTCTCCCATGCTCCAACCCATAAAATACTTCACTGGAAAGAGACAATCAAACCTCCAAGCTTTGCTGAAACATGGAGATACCCACCCTTTGACAATTTATTAATTTTCTTCTTCTTTTTCCTTGCCGATAGTGTGCAGTATCGTGTACTGTGATGCCATTTGAGTCGTGCCCCCATGTGGAAATTGGCTAGGTTGAATCCTACTCTTCCCAAACAATCCCTGCTGCTCACGGTTGTTTTTTGTTTGTTTTTGCCTTTCTTGCCACAAGTAAATTGCTCTCCAGAACTTAAAAATCAGCTTGTATTCAAGTTACATTGTTAAAAGCCACAACGGTGTTTGCTCAGACACAACGTAATGAGTACACATGTACACAGACTATGAATGTAACGTGTACGTGGGCTGAAGGCTCAAGTGTCTTTCTATGATTCCACGCTGTTTTCGGTCCCCATTCAGAGTCAAAAGTAATGTGCTTGGAATAGGGGACCGGTCTCGAGATCCCACCGTGGTAGCCCAACTCCCCATCCACCCAATGATCTCTCACCATCCTGACCATCTTCTGTTATGCAAGCCTCACTCTGTGTGGTGCGATGCGCTCAATCTCGTCACTGGGCTGTGCGATTATGTAAAATCGTCAGTCATGGCTTTTATTCTGAAGGGTCAACAGGAGGCATTGGATACATTTCATCCAACTCATTTTTATGTGCATTACCAGTTTATTGTACACTGAGTGTTGTACAATACATGCAGCTTCATGTAAAAAAAAAAAAAAATCCTTAAAGTAAGGAAAAAAGCTTTTGTATTTTTGATTTCTAAAGGCATGTCATATCTACTTTTAAATGTATTAATGAAGATTTAACTTTACATCAGATGGAGTTTTGTGTTTTCTTTTTTTTGTTTCTTACAAATATCTGTATGTTTAGTTTAGCGCTATGTCACTGAACTGTTAAGCTTAGCATGTAAAGAGTACAGCTTGCTTTTGTGGGAAAGTCCTGAATTAAATTTAAATCATGGCACTTTTTCTGCCAAAAAGATCAGTCGTGTCGATGCCTTTTTTTTCTTATTGTTTTGGTTTAATTTTCAGTATACATTAAGCCATTTTACTTGCAAGAATTGCTATTTGTGCTGAAGATGTATTTAAAATGTTTTAGGAGATCTTTGTTATCTGTCAGGCTGTATGCTATTGTAAAGTGTATATACAGTTCATTTCTGAAACAAAGTTTTAAAACGGTTAAAAACATCTTGAATGCCCTTTTTTGTTTTATTTCCTCTACAGTTCAGATGATGCTGAAAGATGTTCTTTAAATTCTGGGAGGACAAAGGTCTGATATCGTCAATTCCACGGGAATGATGGCACAAAGTATTAGAGCCTACAAATGTTGGATTTAGTGCTTCGTACTATTTATCTCAACAGAGTTTGATCAGCATAATGTTCACTCAGTGTTTTGTGTTGCGTCTAATAAAGTTAAGCCAATATTTTTGCTTACAGCTCAAAGGCTGCACTTAAGTCAAAATCACACTTTTTTTTTTTTTAAATCCATCTTCAAATTACCAAAACTTGCTTTTGAATGGTACAAGGGTATTTATAACCTAAAGTTCATTAACATTTACAGCTCTGTGAAAAATTAATTGCTCCCTTCTGTACTTTCACATTTGTCATGTTTCAGATCATCAATTGTTCTTTTATATTAGACAAAGATGACCTGAGTTAATATAAAATGTTTAAGGGAAAAAAAGCCATCCAAAGCTACCTAGTCCTATGTTTTTTAAAAAGTAATTGAACGGCCTGTTTAAGGTCATGCCAAAGCATCTCAATCAGATTTAACTCTGTACTTGGACTAGGCCAATCCAAGACCTTTTTGTTTTTCCAGAGCCATTTTGGGGTTGACCTGGTCGTATGTGTCAGATCATTATCTTGCTGCACACTCCAAGAACGCTTGAACTGAAAAACTGACTCTCATTCAAGGTTTTCTGGTAGAGAACAGAATTCCTGATTCCATCAAGTCGTCCCCTTTCTGAAGCAGCCTAGACCATCACACTCCCACCACTGTCTGACTGTTGGTATAATATTTTTTATGAAATGCTGTTTTGATCCAGATATAAAAGGACTCAAACCTTCCAAAAAAAAGTTAAACTTTTGTCAGTTAACAGAATATTTTGCTCCTTCCTTAAAGTCTTGTGGATAATCATCTCGTCTCCTGGTAAGTGTGAGACGAGCCTTTGCGTTCTTTTTGATCAGCAGTGGTTTTATCCTTGGAATTCTCCTATACATATTTCTTATTGTTGAATTATGAATTTAGATTTTAACTTAGGCAAGTGAGGCCTGCAGTTCTTTAGAAGTTGTTCTGGTTCTTTTGTGACCTCCTGGATGAGCCTCTTGGATCAATTTTGGTCGCCTGGCCCATCCTGGGAAAGTTCACCGCTGTTGAAGTTTTCCTTATTTGTGGATAACGGCACTCACTGTATTTGCTGGAGTCCCAAAGCCTTAGAAATGGCTTTCCAGACTGATGGATGTCAGTCTTCTCAGCAGCTTCTTTAGATCATGGTGTGATGCGTTCCTTTTTGAGATCATTTAGCCTTTTTCAGTTTGACAGACATCTTCTAGTCAGCAAATGTTTCTGATCAAACAGGTGGTCTGGTAAAATTGAAACCGCCCCAAGAAAACCTGTGGTTAATGCAGGCGGATTCATAATTCAACAAAGGGGGACAACAACTTTTTAGGTAGGTTTGGATAACTTTTTCCCTTTAATAAATTACATCATTATTTAAAAAGTTCATTATCTTTGTTTTATGGTCTGAAACACTGAAGTATGACAAGTATGCTAAGAAATTAGGACGGGGGTAAACACTTGCTTTTATTATAATCACCTGTACAAACAAGATGAACAAGTCATTTCTAAGAAGTGAAAGATGTTGGGAGAATATTTAATTCCTATTATTTGCTGTATTTGCACTGGTTTGATTTCATTTTTTTTGTGTGAGAACCTCTCACTTGCCTAGGATCTATGTAGGTTTCTCTCCTCTGCTCTCTGTTTGACCATGCGTGTTTTTGTAAGCACTTTCTCCTCAACATACAAATGGAGCTGCAGTCAAACAAGAGGTGAAACAAGGAACAAAAGATCAATTTTAGCAAGTGAGACATACTCATCTAAGTCATACGCATCATTTTTCTTGCATATATTTGGGGAAATAGTATGTTGATAAGAATTGTTATCATTTTATGGTATCCTAGATTCAAAGATGTTCTAATTTTACTCTTTTTAGAGGATGGATCAGGTCGGGTATGGGAGTTGTAGGTAGCAGATGTCATATAAATCTTCCAGCAGTCAGTCTGGTGTCTTCTGTCTCTTCCTGACAGGAGTCCAGTTTCAAATGGAGGACTTAATCAACACACTCGATTAATAATGCAACATTTTGGCTGTGCCCATTGCTTAAATCCCTTCTGCGTTTCACAGCCCTCATTTCACACCTCCTTTTTCCCCTTTACCAGTGTCCTTAATTACGGTGCTTTCAGACCAGGTGTAGAGTTGCAGGCTGACACTGAAGTGAAGAGTCGGCAGCTTGTTTGAGCACAGCGGCACCGAAGAAGGATCGAAGATAAAATCCTAAGGAGGTTTAATACTTCTTCAGCAGAGACAGGCATTATAGTGTTAACAGTTATGAAGATTGTTCTCTGGCCTGTTCTCTCAGCAAAGCTAAAAACTTTCTCTACATCAACAAAAAGGATTTAACAAAAACTTTTCTGAGGGGGTTTCCTGCTTACATTTCAGAACATTTACAATGTGGTCAGCACCAGCTATTTGCATTGTGTGCATCTTATTTGGTGAGTACAAAATACAGTTTTTAGCCAGTCTTAATTTTAAAAAATAAAGTAAAATGTTCCTCTAATGTAGTATTACATGATAAATAAAACACAAATTGAGTTAAAAATAATCAGTTAATTTAGCATTATTAGCTAATAGAAAGTCTTGACTTTTCCATCGCAAGTATCATATATCTTGTGAATAGTAAACTTGATTGTTGGTTCTCAATCATAAAAAAAAATCAATATTTGTTTCCTACTAAGCAACGCAGTCATTTTGTATGATATGGGCATGGATGTCATGGCTTTTAATGATTTTGTTGAGCGGTTCTTTTTCCAGGGTGGAATAATTGTACAGCATACATCTTTACAAAAAAAACAAGTATTGGTTGCATAAGTTTGGATTCATTTTGGTTTTTCTCTTTTCCACACAAGGTCAGAAGGCTGCATACAGGTTCAAATACATACACTCACTTTTAATACGTGATGCTGAAGGCTCTATGGTGTCTTGTAACTTGATAAGACCAAGGTGTATTAAGATCTTGTCACTGATCATGATTGAATTGAGGTGATAGTTTCTCTTTGCCAACATAAAAAGGATTTGTCTGATAGCACTCACTGGGGTGGCCAAAGTCCAAGGAGCCATTTCTAAACAACTGCAGATTCCACGATCATCAGTTGAAATAACTGTACATAAAAAGTTCTTAAGGTGTGTCTCCGCTTTGCAAAAATCTGAAAGAAGACCCGAACTGTCACCTTCAGATGAGAAAAAAATAGTTAGGATGTTCAGGAACCACCACAGCTCAAGCCAGCCACGAACTGGAAACGGCCTAATGTCCATGACAAATACTGAGCTGTTTGGCCACAGTGACGAGAGGAATAAAAGTAAGGCTTTCAAACACAAACCTCTGACCTTAGCCCTGTTAAAAAATTGTGGACTATGCTAAAGCCAGGTTGGTGTCAGGAAACCAACCACTTTAAATGGACTCTTCCAATTCTGCCAAAAAGAGTGGTCAAATACACAGCCAGAATGATGCCACCAGCTTGTTCATGCCTGCCAAAAACATCTGGTCAAGGTGAAATTTGTTAAAGAACATTCAACCAAATATTAGTGGGGCTGTATGTATACATTTGAGCCTATATATGTATGCATTGTGTAATTTTAACCCTGTGTGACTTTGGGAAAATTCCAGATAACTTCAAGCTTGTGCACCAAACTCGTTTTTTCAAGTCACTAAAGATGTATGCTGTACAGCCATTCCACCCTGAAAAAACAGTTCAAATAAACGATTTAAAGCCCCCAAAGTACCATGACATTCATGCCAGTGAACGTTTGACAACAGTTGTAACTTTTTTGTTGTTGTTGTTTTTTGTTTTAAATTGTCTATTTTGTTACTTAACGTTCTGTTTCTTTTTAGCCTTTTGTGTACAGCGCTTTGTGATTGCCTGTCTATGAAAAGCGCTTAACAAATAAACTTTACTTACTTACTAAAAGAGGCTTCAGACTTCAGTTAGAGTAAGAGCTTGCTGAATACATAGTATAAAAATAACACAATGACCCTCTTTCTTTCTGTCTTTCTTTCTGTTTAGCATCAACAGGAATCATATGTGATGTCGAGCAAACGAGTTTGCAACCCAAATTAATGCAAAGAACCACAAACCAGACTCCTGGTGAGGGCACCAAGTTAGAAGAAGATATCCAAAAAGTTATTGATCAAATCCACTCTCTATCTAATGGAGATACACGCAGCTTCAGCTCCTCTACCACCAGAGCCGGTTTTGACTTAAACACATATTATGGTGCCCTGATGAACTTGTACAATATTTTTCAGCCACTGCTGAGAGAAAACTTCTTAGATGATCTTCCCAAAATAACAATTTGCATTCTGTCCGGGAGACAGGACTGTGGACTGGAGGCAGAGCTGACAAAGACGGTGTCTCTGGAGTTAGCGAAACCACTGCTGACTTTTTTGACAACTCTGAGGTCGCAGACATGCTCTTCACTGACCACTGATGAAGAGTCAGGCAGCTTCTTCAGGACCTACCTCAGGATGGGGGATTCAGCAGCGTTAAGTGGTTTCCAAGAAACATTTATAAATATACTGTCGAGTCTCTCTCTCTCTAAAAACTTAATAAATGTGTTAGGTGGACTCATAGATGCAACAGTAACATACGCCTTAAGGTTTGCGGCATTATTTATCCAAGTACCAATGGACTACACCAGAATAGCTTTACAGTTTGGAATAAAAGTCCCAGTTTTAGATGAAAAGGAGACCTGTCAACAAGGTAAAGCATTTAAAAAAATACTTCTATTGTTATATTATGTAATTTTTTTGTATTCCAGAAATTATTATTATGAATTCTTCTACAGTTTTATGCTAATTAGATTTCCTGTGTGTTCTCTAGGAGACCTCCAGCAGCTCATTATGTGGTGAGTCATTAGTAAAATTTGCATAAACTTCATCTTTAAGCTGCCCTGTGGAGCTTTTTAACTACATCAGCACCACAGGGCAATGCTTTTCCTGCTTTACAAAACAAGGTTGCTGATAAAGCAGGAAGAATTACTGCTGTGAGTCGTATATTAATCCTTTGAAAGTGCCGGCTGGACACATTATGTAAGTGTTTTATACCTCAGTTAAAATTGTCCACAAGATGGATGTAGACACTAAACTAGTAAAGCCGCACTAGATCTTTTTACCATGACTTTACCATACCAGTCAGGCACAACATTATGACCACTAACAGGTGGAACGAATAACACCAATGATTTTGTATATTATATTTGATGTATAAAATGTACAATAATAATTAACTTCCTGTTTTGTTCAGGGGAATTAAGAACAATGTGAGCTGGTCTTTGAGTACATCACTGATCGATATCCTCCTGGACATCTTCCTCCCTCAAGATCAGTCAGCATTTATGCATCCAGGACCTGAATGCCAGACTCCTCCCAGTGCTCCCTCCCAACGCAGCATTTCATATGCTGAAAACAGCACTATGAATTATTACGACACCCTGTGTGATAGCTACAATCTGGCCACCATCAACGACACAATGTGTGCTGAGATCCTCTCAAATTCAGGAGTAGAGTCTTCCACGCATGTGGTCACGTTTTGCGAGGCTCTAAGCTCCCTCAGCTCCAACCAAATGAAGAATGTGTGGAGCAACATGTGTTATGTTATTCAAACACTGGCTTCTCCACTTGTTAGCAGGTCATCTGACTGCAGTTTTGACAACGCAAGGCCGGCCCCTGCCACTACCCCTCTCACTAAACCTCGTCGAGTTGCCAGGGAAGCCTCCAACCTCAGACAACTTGCGTGCAACTATAACGACTGGTTGCAAAATAATGTGGACCCTGTCCTTGTGTCACTGTGCAGTGACAATGAACGTGTGGAGTTTGTGAAGCAGGTCTGTAGCGATGCTGTATTGATGCGGAAGCTGCTATCTGAAAAGATGAACAGCTGGTTGTACGGATACTGCGCTAACTCCTCTGCAGACTACATGGTCAGTGAGTTCTGCCAGTATGACCAGTGGCTTGACAAGTTCACAAACATGGTGGATACCTCCCTGCTGGCGTTCTGCATGAGCCTCGACAGTGTCAGACTGACCAACCTCATCTGTGAGAACACTGGCTTCTTTATGTTTGTAATGTCTAACCCTGAACATTTTCAGTTCATGCCTAACTGCACAAACGTACCTCCTCCACTGCCAATCCCTGGCTTGGATACGCAGTTAGATTTTTGTCACTACTCTGAATGGCATGAGGTGGAAATTACCAATGAGCTTTTGACAATGTGCATCCTTTTCGACCAGAGCGGTTTCACTAAAAAGGTTTGCTCTAATGCAACATTTTTGGATAACCTTCTTCTTAGCGCACAAAATACCTGGCTTGAGGAACACTGCCGCACCTCTCTTAGCTTTCCACACCCCGAGCCTACAGAGGCCTTCAACATTGGAATGTGGTGTGACTACAATACGTGGGGAGAACGACAGGTGGACGATTCTGTGATCGGACTTTGTTGGCAGAATGATCAGAGTGCTTTTCAGAAGAGTGTCTGCTGCAAGCAGTCTGTGTTGGAAAAGCTGCTGCAAAATCCTCTGAACAAATGGCTTATATCAGTCTGCACAGACATGGAGGAAATAACCGTACCACCTCAGGTGGGTGTTTTACCTGGCAAGAATGAACATATAAAATCTAATTAACAAGCACAAAAAAGAAAGAACTGTTATTTTAAGCCTTATGTAGTAAAATAAGCCTGCATGAGTCTCTTATAAACAAAATCATCCCATTATATCCCAGAGTCTGAACATTTCTGTTCTGAAATCTGAACCTATATATTCTTATCCACTAGTGCATTTTGTATCTTTACAGAAAAAAATAAACTAAAGATAACAGCATTAATTGCATATACAACAGTAAAGCCATTTTCTAACTGTTGACTTTTTATTCTCGTGTTGTGTTCACCATAAATGGTCCTGTAGGTGTGCAAGTACTCTGACTGGACGCGTCCCATCATTGTGGACATGACTGAGGTGGCTCTCTGTGCTGAGATGGACCAACTTAACTTTACCTCCAGAGTCTGTGCCAATAATACAGTCCTACAAAACCTGTTGGCCAATCAGGACAACACCTGGCTAATACAGCACTGTGCCAACTACTCAAAAGACCCAGGGACATCTTCTAATAAAAGTGTGGAAGGCGTAACTAAACAGTGTCAATACTCCAGCTGGATCACATCTCCACCAGATGCTGCACTCCTGGCTCTATGCTGGGAGAATGATCAGACCAATTTTTTCTTATCCATTTGCCCTAATGACGGTCTTCTCCTGTTTCTGTCCCGTGAGCCGTGGAGCCAGTGGGTGAACAGGATGTGTACCACCTACACCACCTATACCAATGCCACCACCACCAACAACAATAGCAACAACAACACTAGCACCACTACGGACCCTAATTTTTGCCTAGCAAGAAATCTGGTGAAGGAGTTCAACTGGAGCTGCCCTACCATCTTCGCTTCAGCCTGTCAGCCGTGTGCCACTCAGAATATGGTCCTGCAGACAGTAGTGCGCTGTTGGGTGGACAGTGTGCGGTCCAAGATGGTGGATCTGCTGACTCCACCTGTGGCTAGAGCATTGGAGCAAGCAGTCAGCACCACTGTGGTTGTCCTGTTATCCCTGGAGGAGGTTCAGATCACCCAGTGGCATGTCACTGAGACAATACGACCAAGTGTGCTAAAATCTGTGATCAACTATTTCAAGTTGGAGGGCAACTCTGACAACAAGAGAGTCTTGCTACAGTGTTTTGGGGTAAGTGGTTCTTTCATGCACTCGTGTGGATTATCAGTAGTGTAGTAGATAGTCAGAAGTGGAACAAGTAGACAGACCAAAGGTTTAGAAATGCTCAAAAAAGCTTCTTTGCATTTTGCTCATGTTAATGTATTACAGTTGGTGATATATACGATTTTTCTGTTTTTTGTGAAGCTGGTAAAAGCAGCTCCACAAGAACAACTAACTACTGTGTATTACCTCCACAAATGTTGTACTGACAACATGTGGGCCTTTGGACCTTTGACGTCTTCTTTGAGGTCAAATAAGGTCACCTTTAAAAATATACTTAAAACGTTGGTGTGTTGGTGGTTCTTGGTGTCTGGGGCTGGGTGCTCATGTATGTACCAACTCACTCCTGGTGGCTGATTGGCGGGGCCTGGCGCCTGTGGCCCAGCTGGGCCCCTCCCCGGGGGTGGGGTGCCCTCAGGCCTCTGGGCCTGAGGCTTGGTCCTCTCTGGCACAGCTGGCCGCGGGCACGTCACTGCAACCCCCTCTGGCCTCTGCTCTGTGGCTGCTGGGTGACCTCTCGTTTGGGGCTCTACTCAGCTCTTCCCAGGAGGGTGGCACGGTTGCCCCTTTGGTGGTCCTCCTTGGGTCCTCGTACTCTGGGGCCTCTGGATGTCTGGGGCCTGGATCTCCTCCATACCTGCTTCATGCCCTGGGGGACGGGGCTATGGCTCCCCACACTCCCTAGCAGATCGTCACATGGAGAAACCTTTGGAATACAAGCATGCTGATCCACACAGGTGTACACACGGGTGTTCACAGACACAAACTACACCTTTCTTGGCTGATACCTCAAAGCACATTGTGCGCTGTCGATCTTGTGTACTGCACAATAACATGTAATATTTAGTATCTACTGTTATCTAACAGTAACAATGATCCCAAACACATAAAAACATACTTTGATAGAAAAAAATCCCTATAAAAAAAACCTCATAAAAAATGAGGTGTGGCAAAGTATTGCCCAGTGCTAATCCTGTACTATGTTGATTTCTGCAACTATTTTTATTGTCATATTATTGAATTGTCATTATTACATTGATCTGTTATCTATGTAGAGTTTTTGGTGGTTTGAGATAATTTGCTGTGCTCTGTTTTGCTTTGAGGCTCAGCGAGAGTCTGTTAGTCAATGAGAGCTGATCGAGTATATTTTAGCACCTTTCTCGGAAATTTACTCTGCAGGTTAATCAGAGCGTAGTGTGAGTAGAGATTCACCTCATCTTTTATTCAGAAAGACTCAATCTGTTTCTGTGTAGTTCCGTTCATTGGCTTTATCATTCATCTAATTATTCATCATATCACTTACCATTAGCGTCATTTGACCTTCAGTGTACAGCCGGCCTACAGCTGGTGTCCAGTTACACTTCTGTCACTGATATCCAGATGATGAGTCTCTTCCTCTGGGTGTTAATCTCTCCTGGCTCACAACTGATTTGACACTTACAATAATGTGTCAAAGGGGACAATTGTATTATATGTGTCTGATGCTCCTTCTATAAGGTGCTATTATAACTGCATATTTCCCTTCTGTAGACGGTGCTAAGCAGACTGCTGCAGACGGGAAGAAACCTGCAGAACACTGACGAAATGCTTCTCATTAAGGTAAGATATGTTGTATAATAATACTAATGCGAATTGCCCCAATATCCAGTATGTGTTTATTGCTCGCATTCTTTCCACATGTGCAGGCGTACTTCAATTTATCGCCGAGCAGCCTGAGGCCAGTGCTCAAAGAAGCTCACAATCATACCATCAGACTCATCCTTCAGTACTACGCCAGTGTCAAAGACACACTGCAGGTGAATAAGACCACCACCACCACATCCGCCTTTTAATTTCCCTTCCCAGAAGTCTTAGTTGTCAGTTCATCTGTTGTATCTCTTTGAGGCACAGTTTTCTCGCTGACATTGTTTTCTTCCGTTTGCTAGTTGCCCAATGAGTACCTGTCCACCATGGTGTCAGAGATACTGCAGACTCACCTGGTAAAAGATGTTACTCTTTTCCCTGAGCTCGCTCCAATGCTGACTAAAGCCAGCCCAGCTGACATCCAAGCTTTGCCTCCCTGGCAGAACAACATCAATGTGTAAGTGATGGAGTTTCTTTACTAATGAGCCCACTACTCATGCATCTAAGCATTATTATTCTCGGAACTTACCACATGTCCCGTGTGAGGGATTAAAACGGTGTCTCTGGTTCCTGAAAGGCTAATATTTTTCATTTTGTTCTTGCGATTATCTTGGAAGTAGGACATATTTTGCTGCACATAATTTTAAACCAAAACTATGAGTTTTGACTTTAACTGTGGCTATGTTGAACCCTTACAATAGTATGTCCACAGACGACCATTTTATCAGGTACAAATTTGCAGGTCTTGATTGGACCTCCTTTAGAACGACGCCATAGATTCAACAATGTGCTGGAAACCTCCCGCAGAGATTTTAGTCCTTATTAATATGATAATGTCACATAGTTCCTGCAGATTACATTGGCTGCAGATTATGTTTGGCTGCACATCCATGATGTGACTCTCCTGTTTTACCACATCTGAAAGGCGTTTTACTGGATTGCGGCCAAAGTGTGCTGACAAAATGTTCCTCGCACCATTACACCACCACCACGGTGACCTTACCATCTCAGCAGAACTTAAGACTTATCAGGCCTATCTTCTATTGTCTAATTTTGGAGAGCCCATGTAAATTGCTGCCTCAGTTTCCCGTTTGTAGGCGACATTAGAGGGACTCCTTTGCTGCTATGTTTCATTTAGAGTCACATAAATCGTCTTTTTCCCTCCTTCTAATGCTGGCTTTGAACTTCAGCTGGTCATTCTGACCAGGCTTACATGCCTAAATGTGCTGAGATGTCCATTTACATGAAGAAGCAGCTGAACATGTGAGGCTATTAAAGTGGCTCCTGAGTCAATAATAAAAAAAGAAAGATAGCATAATAGGTGTGAAATTTAAAAGCATCCATTCTCATTTTCAGGTTAGGATGAGGTGCTTTTACTCAAAGAGATGGAAAATGGGTCATGCTTTGTATCATTTTACTTTGCTCATTGCTGAACATTCACTGAGATTCATTTCAATATATTTTTCTTCCCTGAGAAAATGCCTCTGGGATCTGAATGAAGTCAGAAGTGAAATGATGCGTTGCCATGCAGAGTCCAGAGCATCCATTATACATTGTAAATAATGTAATGCAAGCTGGTTCTCAGAGTTATCTTAATCCAGATAACGCTTGTTTTCTTTGTTGCAGTTGTTTTCCAGTTTCTCACTTTGGAAAATCATTTTCTTGCTGTAAGAAATCTGCATCTTAAATATGTACCTGTTGGCCATGGATATTTAACCTAATATATAATAATGAGACTGGAAAAAAAGGGGAAATGGTTTTAGAATGAATTTAATCATTAGGCTGCTATTATACTTTGATTTTTATATGACTTAAACTTAAGAGATTTGAAGTCTCTGATAGACTGTTAATAAGCTTTAGGCTTGTTCAGGCCTTTTTGTACCTTTGTAAGAATTTTAATATTTATTCTAAGTCAAGCTAAATTTAATGATGCCTGCCAGTACTATACTATATGCAGTAATTCAAAGAAGGTCACATATAAATAAGTTTATTATTATTATTTTTTAACTTTTCAGCAGAAAGTTCAAACAAACCTTATTATTTTAATGTTTTTGCTCCAGTCGGGACAAAATTAATGAAATCTTAAAGAGCATGACCCCGGACCAGCAGCAGGCCTTTGGATTGTGGTACAGCAAAGCATTGTCCCCTTCCAGCATCACCAGAGGTCAACAGTCGCTCATCAAGGACACAGGAAACCTGATCGCCTACCTGCCCTTCCAGAACTTCCAACACCTCTCAGCTGCTCAGGTAACGGCCCTCTGAGCTCTGACACCTGGCAGGGAAACTTGAGAAGCAAGCAGCTAGTTGGATCGGCCCCAGGGCAGAACACAGCCACTTGTCACACGCTGGTCAAAAGAAAGCACAGACTCATCTGTCTCTGTCACTACTGTGGGTTTTATTCTAGGGGCCAGTGTTCAATAAGTAATATTGGGAAAACATGAATTAGGAATGAGCATGGCTACTGATATTTCAATACTAAAGTAAGAATAAATAAAAGGAATTGTTTCAAACTTTGCAAAACAAAATGAGAAACCCCCCCACAAATTGACATTTTTACACTTTATGTTTTGTGTGACTTTCTTAAAAGCTTTGAGTTTGTTAACTTTTTAGCATTAGATGTGCACAAATGTGTTATGCTATAGAGGCAAGGAAGTAAAGAAACATACCTTTCCAAAGGTTTTACTATAATTTACCTTGGATGGTTTGCACTGCTAATAAATACAACATATAAACAAATATTACCTTCCATTTAGTCTGAATTAAAAAAGCATGGGCAAAGGGGAAACATACATGTTTGTCTTTCAGCTAATCCTTGTTTAAAGTGCACAGCATGCAGTCTTTTTATCCTCAAATTTTACACTGTACTGTTTTTTTCTTTCCTTGTCACTATATTGCAAAATGTATTGGCCCATTTTTAATACTTAATTGTGATATGTCACTTTTGTAATGCTTTCATCCGCAGCTGCTTGATGGGCTGGATGTGTTGCAGAGAAACACCCTCACTCCACTAAAGCAGGAATTTGTAGCACGCAACCTCATCAGCACCTACAGGAACCTAACAGCTCAGGACTTTTCCAGGTTTGGAATGACTATAGGAAGGCATTTCCAACATTTTCCATCCATGTTTTCTTTTTGTAATCATAGATAAAACCTGACAGAACACAATGTGTTGATGCATGCTTAATAATCCAGGAATAGAAATAAATCCCCCAAAAGTTTCAGCTGTATGCAGCATTTTCAGCAAGGGAAACATTTCTTTATCTCATCCAAGTGAAATCGCTGAAGAAGTTCTGGGACAACAGTAATTAGTTTTGATGTAATGTTGCTGGATGGTCTTTTTTAGGTGCATTTGAACCTTTTATTTTATTAATATAACTTAATAGTTTGTCATATATACAATCTACTTGCTTGACTTCCAATCCTCATAACTAAATTTGCTTTATTTAAAAAAAGTATCACCTACACACAATATTAAAATTTCAAGGTTTGTTGTAAAGTTTTTTTTTAATTATTTGACAGCATTTGTACTGATTAGTTAGAAATGCCTTGATTTCTTTAGGTTATAGAAACCTTTAAAAATGACACAAAAACCTTTAAAAATAATCAATCAAACCAATTAAAAAACTAAGATCTTTCTTTCTTTCTTAAAATTAAACACATGTAATATTTTGGCAGGTGTTTCCTGTGAGTGTGTTGTTGAAACATTGCTTTGTGATTTCAGGCTGGGTAGTATCGCATGCCTGGCAGACCCAGATGATCTCTATGTTTATAAAGGCACCGAGGCTTTCAGTGTGATCCGGGAGAGTATTATGAGCTGCACACGTAAAGGACTCCGTTTGCCAAGTGACCTGGTAGGAACAGAACTCATGTGCAGTTCCTTCACTGTTTTTTTAAATGTATGCTTTCATGTAATAATTGCTCTTTTTGTTTGTCTTAACTTTGTTGGCAGGTTTTCAATATTTTACTGAACACCACCGAGCTGCAGGTCCCGTCTGCAGTCCCTGCTGAGCGCCTGGCAGAGATCGCGCTCCTCCTGCCCTCGCTGGGCGTGACTTTCCTGCAGGGTCTCTCCACGTCTCAGCTGCTTTCTGTCCTCCCCACCCTGAACTCTATTCCATTCAGTCCTGCACAGGTAGAGGAGTGAATTAAACCTGAAATCTATACCAGAAGCTGGTAACCACAGTCATCATCTGTAATTGGTGTAATTTCCTTTCTTACTAGCAAATTGACTCTTTTCTTTCCAAGGCCCGGTTTCAGTGAGTTGGCAGTGAGTTTCATGTGTTGGCAGTAGATGGTTGGATTGCGTAGCAGCTGGCGGGAGTTTTATATCTTAGGAACAGCTGACAGCCTGGCAGCCTGTCTCCAGCACTGGTGACAGGCCTCATGAAGAACAGACCTAAGCTTTACTTCATCCTCTGCTCTCATCTGAACTGAGGCCTTTTGCGTTTTCCTCAGCCTCACAGCTGTTGGTTTCTTATGTCTTTAAGGAGTCTTGCAGAGAAGTAACATCTTCAAAGCTACACATAGTTTGTGCCATTTCGACCGAAACGGTTGTGTGAACAAGTGTTACTAAATCCCACAAGACTTTCATATTTTAGGAAACGGTGAATTTAACCAACATGTTGACGAGGTGTTTGAATGATTACTTGTTTTGTTTTCAATGTTTCAGGCAGCTGTAATAGTAGACAAGCTGTCTTCAGTCAATGGAGTAAGTTTTGGAAACTCATCACAGTGAAGTGAGTTCAGTTATTGTCTCTGTATTTTTGGGCCTTACACTTACATCATCATCATCTCTCTCCCTGCTGCCCAGTTTATCCCAGACCGGCTGGGGGAGCTCGGCTCTCTCATTGTAGGAGTGAAGACAGAGACCTTGCTGATGCTTACATCCGATAAACTGCTCTCAACCCTTGTTGCTATATCGCAACACACACAAGGTCTCTGTCTGCTTGACAGAAAAGGCCTCCTCCTCCCTCCACAAGCCAATGCTATAGCCACCAAACTATGGGTAAAACACACACACACACACACACACACACACACACACACACACACACACACACACACACACACACACACACACACACACTAAATGCCACGGTTTAATTTGAAGAAATGCATTGTATTTGTTTTTGTTATAGCCATGTAATTAACTCTTTTCTGTCTCCTCCTTTAGTTCAAACAGGGATCTTTGGGCTCAAATCAAGGGGTTCAAAATGTGGGTTTACATGAGGGTGATGGACAGCTTGACAGATGAGGTCTGGAAACTGTGATGTTTGCAGATTACATTGTGATCTATCGTGAGAGTAGGGAGCAGGAGGAAGAGAGTCTGGAGAGGTATCCACTGGAGAAAAGAGGAACGAAAGTTAGTAGAAGCAAGACAGAATACATGTGTAAAAGCAAAGCTGCGTGAAGGTGAAGGTAGATGAGTTTAAATACCTGGACAGTGCACGAGCGAGGTGAGTGCAGCCAGGGTGGAGCTGGTGGAGATAATTATTGAGGGGTTATTTGTGACAGAAGGAAGCAGCAAGCGTGAAAGGGAAGGTTTACAAGATGGCAGTGAGAACTGCTGATGTACGGTTTGTCTATAGCTGTACTAATAAATAAAAACACAGGAGGCTGAGCTAAAGATGGCAGAGTTGAAGATGCTTAGATCTTCATTGGTAGTGACCAGAATGGACAAGATTAGAAATAAGTACATATGAGGGACAGCTCAGGTTAAGCATGTTGGACAAAAAGTTAGAGAGGCAAGGCTGAGATGGTTTGGACACGTGCAGAGGAGGGAAAGTGGATATACTGGCCAAAAGATGTCAGGCAGGAGGGAAAAGGGAAGAACACAGAGAAGATTCATGGTAGTGGAGGAAGACGTGGAGAACGCTGGTGTGACAGAGGAGAATGCTAGGGATGGGGAGAGATGGAGGCAGTGGCACCTCCTAAAGAGAGCAGCTGAAAGAAGAAGAATGCATCTGTGTCGAGCACCTGCTGCAACGCTTTGTGTTATCTTTACTGTGTTTAGGGCTTCCCAGAGGTGGTCACCTGGTTGAACGATGTAGCTCCTTTGCTCGGCTGCACACCACTAATCAGTGTTCTTCCAAGGAAACGTCTACTTGTGAACAGCCTCTCCAATACATCTACAAAACCCTGGAACACGCAGCAGGTATCACAACAGCGCACATCTGTGACATTAGCGCCTGCTTTGCATTACCGCAGAGTGGTAAACAGCTCGGCTTGAATAAATATAAAAGAAAGTTTATGAGTGAAACATTATTAGGAATTCAAAATGGGGAAAGGAAAAGGAAGAAAAGGGTAGGAAGTTTACATCTTTATGCGCTGTACCAACACTTCCGGTATATGAATACGTAAAAGCTTCTCACAGTGAAGCAGGGAGTTCTCTGTTGTGTTTTGATCTCTTCATGCTTCCTCTTATTGGATATGCTTCCTCTCTGTTGTGAGAAGGTGTGCATGACGCTATCTCGATTAGCTGCTAAATTATTAAGTGAAGAATGGCATCATCAGCGACACTGTGAATGGATCAGCCTCTGAATGCAACCGATCATGCAAACCTGCACGCTACCACTACAACGCCAACACTTTTCCACTTTCTTCCCCAGGCTAGAGGAATTTTCAGAGAGGTTCTTGATACTAATCCAAATCTGATCAAACAACATTTCTTGTAAGTACACTTAATCTGACAGACAGATGAACATGCAATCATAGCAATTATTTTCTTGTCTGTTTTCAAAATATATGAACCCCTTTGATGGTTGATGCTCTTATTTTCCAGCAATTTTGCAGATTTATAAATTAACTATTGTGCATCTATTGACTCTAGGAGTCTGGGAACGCTGGGGCAGGGTGTGAGCTGTGCTGTCTTAAGAGATCGTTTTCAGGCAAATCGGTCACCTTCTTCAGCGAGAAGCATCCTGGCCTTGCTCAGGCAGCAGCCTGGTCTTCTTCACACCTCACTGGTAATTACACATCAATTAATTCCTGACATTTAAGATATTTACGTTAATTCAATGATCATTAATGTGTGACTTCTATTATGTGTCTGTTGTTCTGGACAGAAAAACTGTATAATCGAGGTGCTCTATCAGTTTGAGTTCTTCTTTGAACTGCTTGAAGATCTTGGAGTTGAAATTGCACTTTCAATGCCGTAAGTCCAAAGCTAGCATTATAGTTACTGCAGAAAAACTTTAATATCCATAAGATTTGCATGCCTTTAGTGAAAAATGAGTATGTGTGAAATGCAGGAGACCCTTGTGTACTCTTTGCCCTGAAACAAAACTCTGGATTGTTTTGGTCTTGTGTGTTTGTGTCTTGCAGGGTGAGTGCCATAAAAAGGTTTTCCACAGATATGATGAACAGTCTCAGGAGGATGATTATAGCAGGACCGCATCACTTTCTCCTGCTGTCCCGAACAAAGCAGCTGCTGCTGGTTGATAAAATGGCGCAGAGGTTGGTAAGTAGAGCCTGATTTCCCAGTGGCCCTTTTCTGAGGTTCAATGGAAAAGAAGCTACCAAAAGAAGACAAAAATGATAACAGTTATCTGGATTTATTCTTGTGTTTGTCTTAAAATATAATCTGAGCTTCTTCCAAGTTTTAGCTAAGACCAAAAACACCGTTAAAATTAGCAACTGTCAAACATTTACAAACAGCGGAAAAGTAAGGTGGAAGTTTAAATATTCATCCATCATCAGTTAGGAACATAAGAACTGCACAGCACTCGGTACTCATCACTGAAATGAGCGCCTTGCTAAGATAACACACATCAAAAAAAGGCTCATCAGTGTTTCTTATAGGTTCATTTCAGTGTGGACGTCTGTGAGATCAAGTTCAGTAGATCAGATTAGTTTGGAGTCCACACCTCACCCCCATACAGATACTGTTGAAGGATCTCAAGAGTGTATGACACTTTTTAAAGTCTGATCTGCAGGTATCAGTTTGTTTAACGTTACTTCTGCCATAAAAGGTGCCAGCAGTTATTAAATCCACTAGCATGTTGAATTTTGAATGTATGCAAGCAAAAAGGTTTTTATTAAAGAGTATACACTGCTTCTGAATTTTTGTTAAATAAATAATGACATGGTGTAATATGTCATGTGTTGTGTAATCTCAGGTTGTAAGACATGGTTAAAAGCTAGTTAACTTTTTACCATGTCTTAATAAGTAAAACCTTAGAATTGCATTTTGCAGACTTGCAGAGTGTGTACTTTCTTTTTACCATGAGCATAGATGAAATGTTAGAATTGAGATAATCAGGATTTTCCAAAGAGTTAATAAATAGTTTTTCTCTGCCAGCTTTTAGCTAGTACGCTTTTCTTGTTTCCCATGTCTCTTGAAATATCCTATTTTTTATTTATATATATTTTTTGTGCTTTATTTCCAGGACATGTATACAGGCGTGTTCACGGAGGAGGAGTTCCGTTTGCTTGACATCATGGCACCATTTGTGGTAGATGAGGTTTTTATTCAGGTGGACCGCAGGTTCTTCATTCAAAATCTGGATTTCCTCCATGGGCTCTGCTACAGCAGCACCAAGATGGAAATCGTGGCTCGTATTCTCCAAGAGCCTGCTGCCTTTGGGTAACATTACCACAAACCGAACTATCTGCTGAAAGGAGATACAGTGTTATTCAACATTTATTCAACAAGTGATTCTCAGGAAAACAGCAAGACTGAGCAGCTGTGTGAGCTGTAAAATAAATAAATAAATAAAATTAACATAAAGAGTTGAAATGATAACATGTTACATAGAAAGGTTAAATTGGTCCTTAGGTTAAATGAGAAATAATGACAAGAAACAGTATTTAAGAACCCTTTCTGTGGGCAGCTCTTCTTTAGGTCACAAGTTTAGAAACACATATATGCTAATCCACATTTTGTCTTTTGGCCCGCTTGTTTCCTATCAGTCCCAACCAGCCGCAGCAGATGGCTTCCCCTTTCCTGAGCCTGGTTCTGCTGGAAGTTTCTTCCTGTTAAAAGGGAGTTTTTCCTTCCCACTGTCACCTCACTTCTTAAGGAGTCCTCTGATTGTCAGAGTTTTCTCTGTGTTATTTTCCTTATAATTGATCTTACAATACAAAACACCTTGAATTGACTGTTTTCATTTGGTGTTATATAAATAAGAATAAATTAAATTGAATTAATCACAAAAATAATTATAATATTTTGTGTGGCGACTGAGCTCAACTGCTGAAAACTGACATTAAGGTATATAATTAATTAATTTCTGGCATTTCTACAGCATCTATAGCAGTTGAGGTGTAGGATTAAGATGACTAAATATCTTTGCATTCCCTGTAAAGTCACTTACCCAGCCTACGCTAAGCTTCAGCTGAAAGCCCCCATGATGTTAAAGCACTGGTAAATTTGATCATTTATTTATAGCTCAGTGATGATGAGCCGATTCCCTTCACATATGTTGATATGCACTGCTCTTTTTATATAGATTTGTATTATTAACGTTGTATTAAATTGTATAACTAATATAATATTAATATTCCCAAACAATCTAACTGTAGTTTCATCACTCCACAGTTGGTCTGGGTGTTTTTTTTGGCATGTCAACCTTTGTTGTGATCATAAGTTTAGAGTTCACATCATTTTTCCAAGCTACATTGTTACAGTAGAAATTATATATTCATTGTGAAAAGGAAGAATGCAATGAGGTCTGTGTTAATCATTGAACTAGACTATTTGTTCATAAGTGTAAGTAAGATGTGACCATTTTAGGAATGAATTTTAAAAAACTGTAGTTCACTTACTTTTTCTTGCACTGTATTTATTATGTTTTTCCACGTCAACTGCATCACATATATACTAAATGGGTGAGAATTTCAAGAATGTGAATAGAATATTTAGTTCACAGAGGCATGAATTAATCAACAAAGTCCAACGCAGCAGTTTTTAGAAGTTGGCCTTGTAAGGATGTTTCTTTTACAGTTTTTATAGGTTTTAAAATGAAAATGAAGTTATATGAAATTTATTTTCTAAACTTTCCACTGATAGAGGCTTTTCATACAACCTGAGATAAAAGGAACAATGATAGCATGATCTTGTCTCCCCCTCATAGCCCAGTGGAGAACTGGGACCAGACAACACTCAGTCAGGTGGACCGCTTTCTCTTCTTCCTGCCTCAAGACAAACTGCAGCAGATTTCCCTGGTAAGTTTATTGCTGCACTTCTTTCAGTATTTAATACTTAATATCTGAACCCAGAGCCTGAATAGTTCCCCATATTATTATTACTTTTTTCAAAGTGCAACACATTCGCTGAGTGTCCAGAAGTCCACAGTGGAGCTTTGTGTCAGAACTTGATCCAATGACATGTTAAGTCAGAGCCTGTAAAGAAATCTCTCGGGTGTCACATCTCCAAAAGGTGTCAAGATCAGGTGATGAGGTTGCTGTCTTCCTGTAACCCATTCAAATGTGCGTGTTGCTGTCTGTGTCTGTGTGCCCGCAGGCATTGATGACTGTGGAGCAAATAGAGAAGCTGTTCATGAGCCACCATCTGTGGGAACGTGGGGACATCGGGATGCTGTGTTCAGATGAGACTGAGAGGAAGACCATTTTTGAAAGGCAGCAGTTTGTTCTGCAGTTTTTCCTGGGCTTCCTTAAACTAAATTCTCAGTCATGTAAGCCTTACTTTGGTTTCTCTTACAATAACCTTGTATGGTTTTCATCAAATTTGGTGGGATTAAGAATTTCTTCAGTGAATGTAGCATTCTCTGCTGCCTTGGAAGTGTCACAAGACATGACATGGACCCATACAAGGGCTCTAGGGAGGAAGAGGTTCATATCAGTCTACAGAAAGCAGACTAGTTTAGTTAGCTTATGTTAGCATATACTCTTGAAAAAAGGTGAAACAGCCGGCGAAGATTTTTTAGTTCTGCAAAGAGCACTTTCGATTTTAATAACTTCAAGTAAAAAGAAGACATTTTACTTATGTGCAAAGGTGTTTCACGATCAACAGTCAAGTTGCCAAACAGTGAGGGGACATCCACTGTAAAATGTATGCGGCTAAAGAAGGAAAAACTGGATCGATTACAGTAAATGTTGCATTTTTTTTGGAAATCAAGGTCCTGAAGTCTAGAGAAAGAGAAATTTAGAAATTTCAGTATCGTAAATCCTTCTTTCATTGAGCTGGCATTTCTAATTTTCATGGGCTAAAAGCCATAATTAAGAATAATCAGTTTAACCAAAAAAAATAATCAAACAAACACTTTCTCAATAGTTCACTTCCTACATAATTAATATAGAATATATGAAAGTTAGCCTTGTTTAATTAAAGTAGGAAATTAGGAAAAAATCATCCACCTTTTCTTTCAACTTTTTATGCTATATAAAGTCTATATACTCTGTTATGCAGTCATATAGAGGGGAGGCGGGGGGGG